TGTCCGTGGGTGTCCCTGCCTGTGTCCTGTCCGTGGGTGTCCCTGCCTGTGTCCTGTCCGTGGGTGTCCCTGCCTGTGTCCTGTCCTTGGGTGTCTTTATGCAGTATTCAATGGAACTAGGTTGGTTGCTAAACTCAGAGCATCTGTCTAAAGCCCCAAGCAGAAGGTGTGGTCAATCGCCCCCTTTCCAGCTCCTCGGGGCCCCAGCCCTGGTGGACCCCAGCCCTGGCGGGCCCCACCTGGCTGCTGTTGGAATAGGCATACAGTGCCAGCGGCTTCTCCCTCTTGTTAATGAAGTCGATGGCCTCATCCAGGCTTTTCACGGTCACCACAGGCAGGATGGGCCCGAAGATCTCCTCCTGCATCACAGGCTCCGTCTCCTGCACGTCTACCAGCACTGTGGGTGCTGTGGACCAAGGGAGAAACAGCCTCATTGGTTGTCGGGGCTTGGATGGAAACAAGGTTCCAGACTGGAGAGTGTGAGGACCTGACCTCTCAGGACTCCGGGGTCTGAGTGCCCAGAGACCAGCCCTCACTGGGCAATGAAAAGCAAATGAAAGTTTAAGCCCATAAATCTGGGTTCCAGCTCAGTAAGTCTAAAGCTGTGGGGCCCAAGGTCGGAATTTAGGAGCCACGGCTCAGCCACAGTTAAGGCACCAGAAGAGGTGAACTTAAGGATCTGAGACTCACGTTGAAGCTCACATTTAGGGTCCAATGCAGCCCCCTTCAGTATCGAAGAGCCTCAGCCCAGGTGTGCTGTGTGCCAGTGATGGGGGCAGGAGACTCACCAATGTAGCGTTCTCCCTCATCGCTCTGGCCACCAATGGCCACGCGGCCACAGCCCAGCAGTCCCTGGAGACGCTTGAAATGTTTCTGGTTGATGATTCTGCCCAGACTAGGCGAGGTCTGTGGGTTGTCTCCATAGAAACGTGTGATGGCATTCTGCAGGGCCGGCACCAGCCGCTCCTGCATCTCCTGGCTACACAGGATGTAATCGGGGGCCACACAGGTCTGGCCAGCATTGAAGTAGCGGAACCAGGCCACACGGTTGGCCACGGTCTGAGGGTCACAGTCGTCATCCACATAGCAGGGGTTCTTACCCCCCAGCTCCAGGGTGATGGGCGTCAGGTGTTTGGCAGCAGCGGCCATCACGATCTTGCCTACTTGAGGGCTTCCTGAAGACATGGTCAAGAGACAAGATCTTCACCTGGCAAACTGGTCTAGGCATGAATTTTGGCTTCCTCTCTCCACAGACACCTTTCCCAGCCCAAGTTCTGGGCTGTCCCACCTATCCTGACCACCCAGGATCCAATCTCCAAGATTCTCAGAGGGCCTGGACTGGACCTCAGGGACACATCCACCTCTTGATTGGTTCCCTGCCCTGGCCTATGGCCTTATGCTTCAATGCCTTCACACTGTATTCTCTGCTGCCCCCGTCCCCAGGATGCTGGCCAGGGCCATCCTTACCCGTGAAGAAGATATAGTCAAATTTATGTTTCAGCAGCTGCCCGGTCTCCTCGGGCCCACCCAGCACCACAGCAAAGCAGCTCTGCAAGGCAAGGTGACAGCTCAGGAGGCAGCCCTGAGGACAGCAGGGACTTCCCCACTGGCCGGGACACGGGTGTGGGGATGCCGGGTGCTGACAGGCAGAGCCATGCCCACCTGGTCCAGATACTGGGGCAGCAGCTCGGCCAGCGCCTTCTCTGTGTTCTTGCTTATCTCCGAGGGCTTCAGTACCACGCAGTTCCCTGCAGGAGCCAATGGGGAAGTAGAGGAGGGAGGCTGGAGCCTGCACCCCCCAGGGAACTCTGGATGCCCTCTTTGGGAAGGACCCTCAGACTAGGGGGCCCCAAAACCCCACTCACCTGCAGCAATGGCCCCCACTAGGGGCATGATCATCAAGTTCAAAGGGTAATTCCAGGGTGCCACGATAAGCACCAGGCCAAAGGGCTCCTTCCGGATGAAGGCTGAGCTCAGTTTCGTGAGCTAGGATGCAGGATGACAGTCAGGTGTCAAGTGAGGAACAGTCTCCCCCCCGCCCCGCCCCGTCCCCCCGCACATGGGTCCTCACCCCCTGACTGATGGGGTCCCCAATGAAAAGACTGGCTTACTTTGGTCTCTAGGGCAGGAGGGGTCTGGGGCAGGCTGCCCTGTGCTCTGGCCCCCCCCCCCACTGCCTCCTCCACCTACCATCGCCCAGCCTACAGGGCTCACCAAGTTGGTGGACACAGACTCATCCTTCATCCAGGTCTGCAGGTTCTTGAGGGCCAGGTCCACCTCATTCTGGCACAGGATGATCTCACTCATGTCTGACTCGAAGGCTGACTGTGGGGGGGGGGGAGGTCAGGTCAAGGCTGGGCTGGGGTCCACCGTTTGGAAAGGGCATGAGGTGCTTTCCTTGAGCACATCAATGCAGTATATGGTTCCATGGGGACTAATTCTGGAGTGCCACTGCCTGGCTTTGAGACTTTGAGCAAGCAACTTAACACTTGCCTCAGTTTCCCTATTTGTGACCTGAGAACAACCATCCAGCGGGCCTCTCCGTGATATTCTGTGTGCTGTCAAGTTAGTGTTGCATTCTGTTGCAAGGGTTAAACACCCCAGGAGGTTTGCTCCTCATCAAGGGCACAAGATCTCGGAAAGGATGTGGCCCAGCTTGGGAAGGACACAGGTGCACCTGTCTAGTGCCCCTCCCATCCCCCCACAGCACCTTGCCCACGTCCTTGGCCAGTGCATCCTGCAGCAGCTGCTTGTTGTCCTTCAAGAATTGGCCCAGTCTCTGCAGCTGTGATGTCCGGAACTCAGCAGGCTTAGTCCGCCCTGTGTTGAAAGCCTCCCGCAGCCTCCGGAGTGTGGCCTCAGCGGGGTCCACCCTGCAGGATGGGACAGTGTTCACTGGGAGCTTGTGCACCCCTCAACCTTTGGGAAGAGCTTCAGCAGCCCCAGGGCCCAAGGCAGCCCCCCAAATGCATGTCAGTCACGCCCCACTTGCCCATCCTCCCAAGCCCCTACCCTGAGTTTCATATCCCTTGGATGAAGTTTCATACCCCATGGACCAGTTGCTACAGAATGGTGTTGTGTGCACATGGGTGTTATTGTATGTGTCTGATTTGTTTTTAATGACTTTTTGTTTGTCATTGTTTAAAATAAGCAATTTATTAGCTTTCTATCTTTTTTTAAAAAATTATATTTATTATTGGATGTGAAGAGAGGCACTCATACTGTGTGTGTGTGAAGGTCAGAGGACAAATTGTGGGGTCAATTCTCCCCTTCCACCTTTCATTGGGTCCCCACAATCAAACACAGGTCACCAAGCTCGTGTGCGAAGTGAGTGTTTACCTTGCTGAGCCGTCTCATCTCACCAGCTCTCTCTCTCTCTCTCTCTCTCTCTCTCTCTCT